GAGGCGTAGAGGTACCTCTTCTGTTTTTATACCAGCCAATTTGTGTATTAGTATATGTATTAATAGAGGCGTATCTACACTCTAACCTATGGGTTCATGGGAACTCAGTAACTTTGACTCGGACTGTATGTATTAAGAAATCCACTAAGTATCCACAAAAATTTGATTGTGAACACATAAACATCAAATTTTGGCTCTGTTTAATATATAGGTTATAGCTGATCGATCTTGTTTGACATTGTGGTTTAATTGATTGTTCTTTAATGTATCTGTTGCATTGAGCAGCCAATATATGGTTTAGCTTCAGGAGATCCGTTAAGGTTCAGAAGAGCAGCTGGACACAAGGATTTGTTCTACATTGAAGAGAAGGATGTAGAGTTAAAAGATGTAAAGAACTTTGATATGTTTCAGTACCAATCTTAGTTTGTGAATTTATTGAACTGATGCTCATAGTATAAGTTGATGTGTTTTCTGGTCTAGGTGATCGAAGCTCCTTTGCCTAAAGCACCGTTAGACACTGCTATTGTTGCCCATTGGTTAGCTATAGATGGAGTACAGCCTGCTATTCCTGAAAACCCTCCGCCTGAAGGTCCGTATTTTAGCTGCAGTTGGTTTGTCGTGATGTTTTAACATTTGTTTCACTTTAGTCATATGAAAACAAGTTTGCCATGCGTATTGTTCTTTTCCTACTGATTCTTATGTCTATTCTGCCTCCTGGTTTGAAAACTTTTTCTTTCCCCCGTGACTACTAAGAAATGAGGTATAAGTACTAGTTAAAATTTGTATATAATGCTATTTCAATATGCCAGAGAGTCAGACTAACTTATTAATTTGTCGCAGCCTTTGCTATGCCCTCTGATAATAGGAAGACCGAGTATAAGGAGGATGGAGTTCCTGTTGATATTAAAGTACCTGTTAAGCATGTTCTATCCCGTGAGCTCCAGGTATTACAATAACTGTACCAAAATGTTTGTATCCTTTTTGACCATCCAAAAAGATTCAATCCTTATGCCTTGGTGTTTTTTTTTTGCAGCTCTATTATGACAAAATTACAGAGCTTACTTTGAATAGATCGAATCCTCTTCTCTTTAAAGAAGCTCTAGCAAGCTTAGCAACGGACTCAGGGATTCATCCTTTAGTTCCTTACTTTACATATTTTGTTGCTGATGAGGTAATTGTAAGCCAATTTAAGCCCAGTTCATAACATTAGTGGGTGATGGACAATGATGTAATGATAGTTTGTTACATGTCAGGTTGCTCGGAAATTGAACAATTTTCCTCTCCTTTTCTCTTTGATGCGGCTAGTCTGGAGCCTTCTCCAGAATACACAAATACATATGGAACCATATGTGAGTCTATTGCTGATATCTTGGTTGCCACATCTTACTTGAAAAGCACGTTTAGGATAATGTATGAAATTCTGTGTTGATGATTGGACTCGTTAAACCTTAACGTTTATGAAAATGGCTTAAAAATGACAGCAGAAAAGGGAAGTACATGCCCGTTGAGGAAAGAGATAGAGTTTAATTGCACTAATTAAAGATTCTCAAAAAAAGGTGCATTAATTTATTTCTTTAGTTTGAATAAGCTTTTTTTAATTTACTTTGTTCATTAGGGTAGTGTTGTATACATAATGGAAAACTAGGCTTTGGCCTCAGCCATGCAGTTTTGATTCGTGGGGTATCTAGTTATGTCGTGGTTGGTCTGATGATTTCTCTTTTGTGTCACTTTTTATTCTTAATTTATGTATTTTGGTGAATTCATCTCCAGCTGCACCAGTTGATGCCTTCTATATTGACATGCCTTGTTGCAAAAAGGCTGGGAAACAGAATTTCTGACAATCATTGGGAACTTAGGGACTTCTCAGCAAAGTTGGTTGCTTTAATATGCAAGAGGTAAGGATCACTAGTTCTCACATTTAGAAGCTACAGAAAGTATACATCTGCGTCACTGGCTGTTGCTTCTATGTTGATTCTCCCATTTGACTTTTCAAAATCAAGCTATTATCTCTAACTGGATTCCGCCATTATGTGTTGGGCTTGGCCTTTGTTTTCCCTTTTACTTTTTGCCACCCCCAATGAGAAGGGGATTGTTAATGGCTGCTAGTGCATGTATCTGTATAGTTGTTGGCAATTGCAACACTATACTTCTATTTCGTGCTTCGTAGACTGTATTTCGCTAATGTTTCAGTTCTTTGATATTGGTAATCTTTCCATATTTATCAACTGGTGCTGTATTATTCACAAGTGAAAGTTGTGCTGTATTATTCACAAGTGAAAGTTGTGCAGACATGGTCATATGTACCACAATCTCCAGCCACGTGTCACCAGGACTTTGTTGCATGCTTTTCTGGATCCAACTAAGGCGCTGTCTCAACATTATGGAGCAATACAAGGGCTAGCAGCTCTTGGACCTGGTGTGGTATCTCCTTGTTCTCTCTGTACTTTCTTTCCTTCTAAATTTTGACGTGTAAGCAATTGGTGATATATTTTAAATTTGTAGGTTCGCCTACTTGTGCTGCCAAATCTTGAGGTTTATTTGCAATTGCTAGAGTCCGAAATGCAGCTTGAGAAGCAAAAAAATGAAATGAAGAGGCTTGAAGCTTGGCGTGTATATGGAGCCTTGATGGTTAGTTGTCTTGAATGGTTAATGATTTTTACCTCCATTATTTTGTCCAATTATTTCTATGTGATACTGAACATAGCTAAATGTCTTTTCTAACTTTTATTGTTAGATATTTTGGCATTACTGCAATTAACTCTTCTAATTATGTACAGTGTGCTGCTGGTTTATGTATCTATGAGCGCTTCAAGTTGCTTCCTGCTTCATTATCTCCATCTACTCGCACATTCCTGAAGAATAAATGGAAAGTCTCAACTACATTGTCAAGTATGTCCTTCTCTTTGTTTTACTTATTCCATTCTTTCACAAAGAGGAATCTATAACGCCGACTCTGTAACTACAAATTTTAGTTCTTCCTTCTTAACTTTTGCGTAATGCTGTCTGTTAAATATGTTCTGCCTCTTGGAGTGTCAATTAGAAATGGTTCCAAGATAGATATGATCAGTATGACAGGTTTCTTCAACTATTCTCAAAATGTGGAGAAATTTCATGCTAAATGTTGGAGGCCAATTCCTCTCACATTGCCAGTGGATACTGATCTATTAGGAACTCGTGAATCCGTCATATATCTTGAAATACTTGCTCCTGAAGTGATATAACTTATCTCTAAAGTCCCTACAACCTGTCCTGCTAGTTCTGTGTGGTCTGTCATTTGAATTCAAAGTTGAAAATCCTCTTCTGTGGATGTCTTCTTTGTCCAAGTGCTTTTACTTTAATGTCTCCTGCAATGTTTTATCTCTTCATCTTTGAATGTTAATACACTTCTATCATTATCTCTTGATTTTGTCTAGACATTCACTTACAAAATAAAATTGTGTAGACAAACGCAAAGCAAGCCTGGATAACATGATGACGCAGCCTCCACCCAAGAAATTAATGACAGACGGTCCAACAGGTTCAATGACAACAAATTCTTTGCCAGTAAGCACGCAAGGACCGGCTGGTCGATACGCTGCAACCCTGGGAGCCACGGAAACTGGTCTATCATCAGCACCACAAGGTTTGCACAACGAGAATATGCCAAGAAGCAGCAGCAGAAGGGAGATGGCTGGTGTGCAAGGTCAAAAAACGTCGGCTACTCTTGATCAGGCCTGGAAGGAAGATTTGGATGTCGCGCATTTGTTGCCATCTCTGTTTGAATGTTTTGGTGAAAGGATGTTTCCATTTACCCCTTCACCGGAGTTGTCTTTCTTTCTGTGATCCATTGGAATGGGAAGGTGGCACGCAACAGTGAATGCCAACTGCGACTGTTCACTTTTACGGGTAGTACATTTTGTGTTGATGTAATATGTGCTTCTAAGCGGAAATATGAAGTTATTAGCAGCCAAATCCACTTTATTTTGTATAATAGACATAATAAAATAAAAAAGTGGTCATCTGATCTTGTATACTTCGCTTGAGTTTCCCCCCTCTTTTTTGCGAATTGTATGTCCAATATTACTTGTGATCTCTTTTAACACATTGCTGTTGACAAATTTTGATATTCAAGAATATTTATTATCTAGTACTCCCTCCGTTCACTTATATTTGGCAGGTATACTAAAAATAGATTTTCATTTTTACTTGTCACTTTACGCATATCAAGAGACAAATTTTTTTTTGAAGTTATACCCACAGTATTTATTACTCATTTCAAATCATTTTCTCAAATCCAATAAAATATGCATCAATTAATATGGGTATCATGGTAAATTATACATTTCATTTATTATTCTTAAAAGGCGTCAAAAGTCAAAACGTGACAAGTAAAAATGAACGGAGGGAGTACTAACAAAGAAAATAAACCCAAATGGCTAATAGGTCAAAACATTAGTTTTGATTTGGTATTGAGATAATTGTGATGCGAGGAAGTAACACAGAAAATAACATAGATCTACTGTATTTTAATCATATGAGAACCGTAATATACATGAGATCTGTAAAATATAACACTAACAAAACACAGAAGATCTTTGTATGGTATGTTTCTCTATTTAAATTGTAAAAGAGTGATCATTTCCTCTTAATTTTTTTCAACTCAATTATGTCACGAGGACGAGCATTTCTAAGACCTCTGAACCTGTCCAACTTTATGTGAAATTTATTGAAGTCTTGTGATGCCTCAACTCTCTGTCCAATTTTTAATTTCCCAAAAATCAATATTCCCGCTGAAAGAGAAAACTAGCTTACTATGACACCATTTCACGATTAAAACCGGATTACGTGAGATTAAAAAGCTCTTTAACATCCTGATGCTATTATTAGTATTAGAGAGCCAAATGCCAAGAATTGTGAAACATTCTCTTTCAGTAATCCGAAATATTCAATTACTTCGAATCCTTGGCACCTGCACCATAAATAATAAACAGGTGGAAAAAAAACGCCATAGGCTCGTGGTCTATCGCAAATCCAACTTTCATAGGCAACACCAGTTAGAAGAGAGATGGTCAAGTGGAGGAACAAAAGGATATACGACAAAAGTTTCAATCCCCTAGAGAAGATTCAAGGAGCATAGTTGCCTGTGCAGTTCTAGCCTTTTCTTTATACAAAATAAGCAAAAAGAAGTTTGATAGGATGGAACAAGCAGACACTAGGAAGAGAACCATGACGAACATAAATAGGAAAATCTTCGACACTGCTGAAAAATAACTCCAACCAGCCAATGCCTACTCGTTAAGCCACCCTGACGAGTTTTGCTGTGAAAAGGGGTTGTAAGGCCTTGGAGCAAAACCCGATGAGCTACCTGGAAACCCAGGTCGAGCAACTCCACCGCCGTAGATGCCACTTCTGCCTTCAGATCCCATGCTATTCATCCTACCGGGATACAACTCATCATGTGGAGCATACCGTGGCATCGCAAGCGTATTAATCCTCCCATAGGTTGGTTCAGTTGCTGGACTCAACCGCCCGTAGGGGGGATAACCAGTGCTGGCACCCGCTGTGTAGTTGCTTCTGGGACTCGAAAACTCACTACCCAGCTGCCCATAAAGGTTACCCTGCGGCCGTACATCTAACTCCCTTGCATATACCCCCCCATTCATGTGACTGGGGTATGATCTATAACCAGGCATATCTGCACGCTCTCTCTGGTAACCCACAAACCGTTCATCTGAGGCCCTAAACGCATACTCAGGACCAGGACTAGCAGACTGAGAATATTGGTGATTTAAAGTCGAATAAGGCTCCTGCATCGGCAAGCTGTTCCTTCTTGCCATGTCACCATCCGGATGTGCCCCGTGCCCCACATACTCGGGACCAGGACTAGCAGACTGAGGATATTGGCGAGTCAAACTTGAATAAGGCTCCTCCTTTAGCAAGCTGTGCCTTCTTTCCATATCACTGTCCTGATGCACCCCATACCCTGTCTCTTGCTCTGTCTGTAATGCAGAAGCACTCTGGCCAGCAAATCGTTCATAGCGTTCCTTCTCTTCTGCCTTACAAGATGAAACCGCGTGCTGATCAGCTGACTTATGATTGGTCACGCTGGGGGAGGAATGTCTAGACAGAGATCTTTTTCCAACAGATATCTCCTCTGTTGATTTTTCCACCAAATCTCTTGGACGTTTCGCTTTGGACTTGTCCTGTCTTGACTTCTCATCCAAATCATTTTGATATTTGCTTTTATCCTGACTCTCTTTCATCGACTTCTCATCAAATTTGTTCTTGCTTTTATCCTGACTCTCTTTCATCGACTTCTCATCAAATTTGTTCTTGCTTTTATCCTGATTCCCTTTCATCGACTTCTCAACAGATCTGTTCTTCGCATGGCCCAGGCTATCACCTTCTTTGCCACTGTTATTCTGCGATCTCTCCCTGTATTCTTGGTGCTGATGTCGCTTCTTATCCTTGAAATCAATATCATCACCGATCCTCGTCGACTCAACATCATCACCATGTTCCACCGAACGAGGGACAGGTGTGTGGGAGCAACTTTCTTCTAATTTATCTTGTATCTTGGACGGGTGGCCATACTGTTGAGCAATTGCTTTATGTTCGGCTGTCCAATCAGGGCGACTCCAAAGATAAAGTGGTGGTGCACTCACATTCCAGTCCTCCATTTGTTTGTTATTTGCATCAACAGAACCAGGCAAATAGAATGACTGGAAAAGAATAAGGATGAGCCACCAGACAGTTTACTTGTTTATATTCTCAATACCAATACATATTCATTCTTAATACCAATCACAAGAATGGTGAGAAACAGTTTACCTTCCCACTAAGCAACGCATCATCCTCCCAAATTAGATCATATGGATACCCTTTTTTTACATCTAACCTGGTTCCAATACAAACAATTTATCAAAATCGGAAAGAGAAAGGCAAGAAAAGAAGTTCACACAAATAAAAGAGATGCAAAATACCTTTCTGTCTCTTTTGGAACAATGAGGATAAGAAGCTTTGGCCTAAACCGTAGTGCTTTATCAATAAATTTGTTAGCAAGAGCAGCATTGACCCCAAAAGGAGGGTTCAGCCCCATGATCTACACCAAGGGATAAAAAATGTAATTCCACGCAACATGTGGTGAAAACCAATGAATTTTGGTGCCTGGCATATATCTGTGAATGTTGTGCTCTAAGAAAAAATATTTCCTACCAACTTCGATCCTGGTGGCAATTCATTAGGCCCTACTTTCATCCAATCCCTCTTCTCAAAATTAAAATCATTCTGCAGGAAGGACAAAGAACGACAATAAGTAACGTAATGTGCCAAACACCTAAAGCATATAGAAAGTCACTTGTCAAAGCAATCAACGTCTGACATCATTTCTTCAAGCATTCTCCTCCATGCTAAAAAGATTCCGACCTACGTGTTTGTATAACTTCCACCAGAAATGTGCACATACTAAACAAGGAAAAACATTCACCTTTGGTTTGAATAAATCATAATTCTTATATGAGCAATCCTTCCCCATCTCATCCAGCTTGTTTTTCATGAGGCAGCTGAAATCATTGGAACCGCAACAGAAATCCACAATCTGCTCAACAAACAACAAAAACGTTAAATCCATTGCCTGCTAAACCAAAGAAGATTCCCTGAGCTTAGAAGCTTTAGAAATCATAATAACATGATCCTGATTCCTGGCAGATATATAAGTCAAACGTAATTAGAGTTCAACGAATCATTTTCCGAAGTACAACAGAGGCAGACACAGATGATTGTGTTTCTAAACAGGTGAGGTTTCTCATGGATCACATTAAATGCATGAACAAGGGTCTACATAAATCCAACCCAGATTCCACACTGCATTACATGTTATCCAAATTGTGCATGGATGTTGCCATAACTTCTAGATAAAGGAGGGTCATGTTGTCCAGTGTGATCCCATAAGTGGGGTCTAGGGAGGGTGGGATGTACGCAGACCCTACCCCTACCTTGTGTGAGGTAGAAAGGTTGTTTCCGAAATAGGGTTGAAAAATACAAGAGTAAAAAAAAACTTAGATGAAAATACTAAAGAAAGAAACATAATGACAGTAAAGTAGTAACGATACCCAAAGTAGAAGAAACAATCGTAGTAATACATATTAAGATAATTATTATTATAATTATAATAATAATAATAATAACAATAATAACAACAACAATAGTAATAATACTGATACAGACAAGAGGGAGCATATAAGGTGCTCTAAACTAGAATCATACTCTCCCATAGAAAAAAAAAGAAATCGCTCGACTACCTACTAATCTTCTACCCTAATCCTCGACCTCCATGCTCTCCTATCTAAAGTCATGTACTCGGTGAGTTGAAGATGTGTCATGTCCTGTCTAATCACCTCTCCCCAATTCTTCCTCAGACTACCCCTACCTCTTTTTATACTTGTCACTGCCAACCTCTCGCACCTCCTCACTAGGGCATCCGTGCTCCTATTCACATGCCCGAACCATCTCAGTCTCGCTTCCTCCATCTTGTCCACTACATAGGCCACTCCCACCTTGCTCTGTATATCTTCATTCTTAATCTTATCTCTCCTAGTATACCCACACATCCATCTAAGCATCCTCATTTCCGCTACTTTCATCTCATACATAAAATCAAACATAATAGCAAAAATTCGAGCATGCCATTTCCACCACTAATGAGCAAGACTAACTCTAACCATATTATGTTCATGCCAAAATAAAAGATCTCCTCTTGCACACATTCCAAAGTACACCGAGAAGCATGTGAGTATTCCTACTCTAAGTTAAATCAAATTTCCCAAACATTATGGTTAACTCAAACTGCACTTTTTGTCACTCAAATAGAAGAATAGGTTCAACAAACTTTTAATCCCCAGGGAGTCGTTAAATTTGACCGTAGTGTAGTTAAACACTATAAGTTGCAAGAACTTGAAAACAAGATTCGCTCTACCTTGATATTGGGATGATATTGTGCCTTTGTTCCCAAAAACAAAAAAGGATCCACATAGACTATTTCACAAGAACTTCAAGAAGAGTGAATTGAATTATCCGCGGGTGCTGAATTGCAGGCTATTCCTTACATCTAAAAAATGAGGAGAAAGATATGTAAAAATTACTTGACTAATTGGTCCATGTACCTCACTTGCCTGATAATATACTTTAGACAGACTTCAAAAGAAATTTGTAACTAATCCAGGCTAAAGGAAGAATGACATAAGCCAACAAAGGACAACAGGAGCCCCAAATAAGTATCAGAAGGTTAATAACTTTTTCTCTTGTCTTTTGACCCCAGCCAAGTGGGGAAAGCCACTTCACCGCACTAAAAATTGCCCCCAAGATCATAATAGTAACACCCATCTAACAGATGAATTGAATGCAGATAATAAATTACAGGAACTTGAGACACTTTTAACCATGTGTGATGTCATTCTATATAAAATAACAACTACGCCTCAATCCCGAACAAGTTGGAGTCGGCTATATGAATCTTCACTTCTTTCTTTAAGTTTAACTCATATCATCATCATAACATATAAAATATTCCCCTATAAAAATGTTATTATAGCAGAATAACAATGAACAAAGTTGGAGGATTATAACCAATCTACACAACAGAAAAAAATTGTTGTAGTCAAGTTGGTAACTAGGTTTCCATTCATAAAACGTAAGGCCAGTACAGACTCCTACCATATCACCTTCTCGAACATACCAATGAAGCATATCGACAATCTGCATAATAGAAGCATACTATTAGTTGAGTAAAATATGGAATGTACAGACTGTGAGGATTAGACATGAAATAAGATTCAGTGAAAAATTATCATAGAGCGCGGTCAAGGAAAAATCACTGCTCAAATGATCCAGCCAGAAGGTGCATAAGTGGTACAAACCTAGAAAGGGTAATTTTTACGTTTTTCTTTTCCTTTTTTTTTTGCCTTTTTTCTTCTCGTCAGCTTTTGCGAGAGGTGGGAAGCAGATAGCATTCCTTATATAATGCACTGCTATTCAAAATAAAATAGAAGGAAAAAATGATGCATTCAAAAATGGCTGCAAATACCAGAGCAGTGATGACACTCTACGGTCTGATGATTGACATGCAATAAAATGCAGTGAAAGAATATCATAGATCATGGTCAAAGAGAGATCACTGCTCAAAATTATCCAGCCAGGAAGTGCAGAAGTGAAAAAGCATGAATTTTTCTTTTTCACTTTTGGGAGAGGTGGAAAGGAGATCACATTCCTTCTATAATCCACAGCCCATTCACATAAAATAGAACGGAAAAATGATGCCTAAACTTTGGTTGCAAATTCCAGGATGGTGATGACTTAAGCTCCCGCAAAGACAAAGAGACAGCACTTGCAATGATTCTTCCAAAGTACAAAAGATACACAAATCTGCGGCATGCGTAGTTTCGGTATTCTGAACACTGAGATTGATCGTATCTCAGTCTCCAGTAGCCAACAAGAGATCCTAAATTTAGAAACATTTCAAGTGACAAGAACAAGCAGGAGTTCCTCTTTCCACAAAGTAGAAAGAAAAAAGTGAGAACACCAATGACTAACATTGTTTAAGGCAATTTACACGTCCCTGTGTAAGCCTTTTTTATTTAAGATAAGTAATATACCATCCAAAAAAGAAGCTGAGCTGAATGAGCAGCAATATCAATATGGTACAATACTCTCACTGAATAATCATCAACTGATAATGCCCTAATAAGCATGTATGTCAATCAAGTACAATTACTCCAAGGAACAACCACTGCATCTCTGCCTTAAGGCATGAACATTTTAAAACAATAATTAAGAAATGGGAAATGGATTTGTCTTAGGAGTTAACCAAGGCTTTTCAATTTGTACTTTTTCTGCATCTTCTTGATGCATTTGATGCAACACCTTACTTCATAAAAAAAATAAGAAATGGGAAATGGAGACACCGAGCAATTTAAATGGAGATAAGCTAGCACATAATCAGATTATTTTATACTACCTTAACAAGGGGCTAAAAAGAATGCCAAATTAGTGCCCGTATTAGTAATTAGATGAGACCCCCCNATCACCAGTCGGAGAGGTGAAATCGTACTCACTACAACAAATATATCTTCCGATGACAAAAAAGCTTCAAGTTCTACCTCACCTCTCTCAGCTTCTCCACTTTAGTAAAATGGCGACCAAAGGACGTGTAGCGCATTCCGTGTAAAAAGGGAGCAAGATATACTCTCAGCTTGCTCTACAAAAAAAAAATTGGTATTTATGAGAAATTTGGGGAAACAAATAGACAGAAAACAAAGGGAAGAAAAAGAAAGCAAAGTGAGGTACAGCTTTTAGCAATCACTACAATCTAGGTCTGCAAAAAATGCAATATAGAACACTTGAACCCGCTTGAACAGATAATATAGAATGTGTATACCTAGTTATGCAGAATAGATTAATGCTTCAGCACTACAAACTACCAAACAGCCATCTCAATGTGCCGAAAGAAAGCAAGCAACTAAATTGAAAGACCAGCAACCAAACTTAACATTGAAAATTCTAAATCATTTAAATAGCAGAAGCAAAGAAACCTAAGTCAATCAAACAATCAGTTCAAATAGTTATCTTGAGGTTTATTGATAGTTCAATCTGATTCAGCTGTTGACAGTGCTTATTTATCAGTATTATTGAAAATTATTTTTGAGAAAATGTCTTACTGAAATTTATATACCAGAATTAGTGCGGGGAGTGGTTGGTAAACTAAAGATTTTTTTTTTTTACAACCGCCAGCTTGCCCGCACCTTGACTAATTCAACGAGGCACCTGCTACCTCCCATCAGTACAAGTTAGGACCTTTGTCCATCGACGCTTGGACATATGGGAAGAAATCACCTAGTGTTTTTGTCTCCGCTGGGATATGAACTTGAGACCTCACAGTTCTCAACCCACTTCATTGACCACTACGCCACACCTTGGGGTGTTTGTAAACTAAAGATAATTATATAAATGATTATCAAATCAATTAAAAATAACAACGTCATAGAAGAAATGATTGGCCATTAGTTTGAGAAGTGATTCTCACACGAAACAACCAGATACCGAATTATTTGGATAAGGCAACCAAAAAAACAATTACAAACTAATTTAAGCAAAGGCTGATTCGATGCCATGAAACGATCTAAATCATCGAAGTAACTAAGCCTTTTGAGAGTGAGGAAGGAAGGGAAATATCCGGAGGTGTTTACAATGATAGTAGAGAAAGATACAAGATCTGTAGTGAGGCATATGTGTCCTTTTCATTTTTCTGTCTCTACCTTCACACATTCCCCCACCCAGGGGCTAGTGAGCATATCTTTACTTTTGGACAGTGTTTTTGAGAGCGAAGAGCAAAAACGTGACGGGCTCACTTCGCTTAAAGCGTGAAGCATGCGCTACTTTGAAGTGAAGAGCATTTTATTTTTTAAAAAAAAAAATTGCACAGATTAGTAAGATAACTTAGTAAAAAAGAACTCCACAAAAATATTATATAAGCAAATGTTTAAATTTATAAACAAAAAAGTGAACAACCAAAAATCCTCCATAGCACAAGCAAAATCAAAACCAAAACATAAATGGATCAACATACTACTCTTCATTTTAAAAAATGGATAAAAAGAAAAGAAATAATTAATCAATTTATAAGCAATTAGTAATAATTGAAAGTAGAAGCAGCCAGCTCAAAAACAGGGGGGGGGAAACAGAGAAAACAGAGAAAAGGGAAAAAAGAAAATTAAAACTGTAAATAAGCTGCTAGTAGCAGCAAAAATAAAGAAAAGAACAAAAGATTGTTGCCATTAACCCCAAAGAAGAAGAAGAAGAAGAAGCGGCGGAGGACTTCTTCTAAAAGAGTTCCCAACCTGGACTCTTCTTCTTTATTTAGTTTTTTTATTTTTTAATCCCAAACTTTCTTTTTACTATTAAGATCGCTGCTTTTTAAAGAATCGCTCGCTCCGCTTCATGTTTCAGACATGAAGCGGACGCTTCATTAACATCGGCTTGTTTCACACCCTTGAAGCGCCATGGCTCGCTTCGGTTCGCTTCATCCCTTTAAGCTATGAAGCGCTCGCTTTTTACAACACTGCTTTTGGAGAATGTGTGCTTGGCTCCACAGGGGGGAGGGGAACCAGGATTGGATCAAGATCAAGGTTTGCAGTTGGTGTTGGACAGTTACTATTTTTTGAGAAAGGTAACATTTTATAAAAGAAAGCAGCACAAAGTTTGTGCTGGTAGAAGTGACAAAATACATATCCCAAAAACAGTAAAGAATTCCCCTACTACAAAAATTGACAAGGATTCTATGATATCAAGTATGGAGTCACTATCATTTACAGGTCATTCTTTACACCAATAAAGAAAAAGTACTAAACAGTTCATTTTGATTGGTGTAAGCATTTACTATATACTACAGTATTCCAGAAATACGCATCCCTCAAGAATATCACTTGCTTTTTTGTGTGAAGAGGGAAGGGGCATTGTTGATCATATCATATTGATGCTGCCTAAGGTCAAAGACAGCATATATTTAAGTTAGCATGGACAACTAAATGTTCAGACCTCAAGGAAAACTAGGATAAGCCAATTAAAAAGAAGAATGACAAGTACCCTCCACTTCATTATCTGATCAAGAAGCCCAGGCTCACAGACAGCTTTTGCATCTTCAACTTTGCCCCCTCCATCCAATATTTGCAAGGCCGCACGAATAGCCTGCAAGACATAAAATAGGTCATTTTTATTGGATGTTGCTTCAGTACATCTGGTAAAATAGGTCATACTAAAGATACTTTCAACAACAATCAGCATAAAAAATTGTTTCTCAAGTACCTCAATGGAACCTTCAACTTTCCCCAAGGTTATAGATTTGTCAAATTTTGACGAGTATGCATGTGTTGTGGGTGATATTTGCTTCATCAGTTTATCCATAGTTATGGAGGATTTAACGTCTTTCATAATAGACAAAATTCTGCATGGAATCCATGAAGGAAATCAGAACAGCATCTTATCAGTCACCGGAAACAGAAAGGAATCCATGGGCCGGGGGGGGTTCATCCCAGAAAAGTGAATCATGATCCCACACAAATCTTATTAGACAGAAAATTAATCAATTGAAATTGCTTATTACAAGAATTACCATTAACGCTAAACAACACAAAATTCAAAAAAAAAAATGTTTAATCTAATCCTAGAAGGTCTTGGTCCAAAATCTGCTATCACTTTCAAATCCTTCAACTGGCTTTAACATATAGCAAGAGTGAAAAAAGGTGTCCTTACAACTAATGTATTCAACTAGGAAAGCCTGCCCTTCATAGAGCAACTCTCCTAGAGTTTAAACCCGAAAAACTGCAACATAACATCCCTAGGCTAAATCTTTAATGCCTTGAAATGTTTTCTCATTTTCCACTATTTGGTTGCACAATTGGAAAATGTTTTCCTAGATATCACATTTTCCCTTCCCTAGAAAAAGTTAGGAAAACATTTTCCAAAAACTCCACCTACCCTCACATCTAACCCCAACCTCACCTCTCCCCGCCCCCTCTCCAAAAAGGCTTTTTTTTTCAAATTTCAGCTTTTTTATCTTTTCCGTCACCATCAATAACATTCATTATATTATCGCAAACCATAGTCCTGAACATAAATAAATTTGATACAAAATTATCATTTTTATAATGAACTACATGATACACTATCAGATGACCGAGAAGACGAAGCAACATCGTTACAAAATAATAAATGGTGGGTTTTTTTATAAAATATAAAAGTTTGGGGCAATTTTTAAAAAATACAATAGTGATATTTTGGCCCAAAACCAGCTATTGAGCTGGTTTTGGGATTTGGCCAAAATATAGGCAAAATCTATGGCCAAACATGTGTTTGCCAAATAAAACCCAAGTTTATTTTGGCAAAATCTATGGCCAAACGG